CCCGCTCCCGTCAGCCCCCGCGCAGCCGCGGTCATTTGAAGATGGCGGAGGCCGCGCTGCCGCCTGAGTGGCGCCTCTACCTGTCCGCGGAGCGTGCCGCCACCTTCCGCGCCTGGCCCTTCACAGAGGGCTGCTCCTGCACGCCCGGCCGGGTGAGCCGCGGGGAGGGGCGGGGGGAGTGGAGTGGGCTGGGCTGGGCTGCGCTAACCCTCCACTGCTTGGCTATGGCGTAGATGGCGGCGGCGGGGTTCGTGCACCACCCGAGCGACAACTCTCCGGACGTGGCGCAGTGCTTCTTCTGCCTCAAGGAGCTCGAGGGCTGGGAGCCTGACGACGACCCCGCGTGAGTTTTCCCCCTCCCCACCGTGTGGACGGGTGCAGCCACGATTGCGATGAGTGCAGCAGGGGCTGAGCCCAGGAGGGAGTGGGCTCGGGAGGGCTGTGGAGTACAGCGGTGCTCTGGGAGGTAGCCATCATCCCAGCTTGGTTCTTTCACCTAGGGACGAGCACCGGAAGCACTCCCCTGCCTGTGCCTTTCTCTCCCTTCAGAAGGATGTTACTGACCTGACGCTGCAGGAGTTCCTGAAGCTAGACAAGGAGCGGATGAGAAACATGATTGTACGTGTGGCTCCGCTCTGGGTCCTGCTCACCCCTGTGCTGAGTTCAGGGAGGTTAATGCAGCCTCTGATCATGAAGTCTGCATGTTGACATCCTGGCCCCACAATATGACTTCCCTGTTGTGCAGCTTTCTTTCCTCGTTCCCTTTTCCCTCTCCGTGTGCTGCCAGGATTGGTTGATCTCCTCTCTGTCATGGGTTGGGCCAGACAGTGTGTCTCTGTTTCTGTGCCTTTGCCCTCTCCCCTTTGTCCTGGGAAAGGGCCACTCGGCTATAAAGCAGCCCTCTGTCAGCTGAGTATGACAGTGCCTGTCCCTAAGCTGAAGAATTTCTCTTCTCTTTCCAGAAAAAGCAGATCTCTCAGAAGGTGACAGAGGTTGAAGAAGCAGCAAAGGACATGCGCCGCTACATTGCAAAGCTGACCTCCTGAGTGCTGCTCTAGTTGTTACTTGCAGGCAGCATCAGGCATGTAGATCTGCTCTTGTTTGACTGCTGGAGTGATTGCATTTCTTCAGACAGCGGCTGGTAGTGGTGCTAACATTGCGGTCATGTCTTTGTAGTGGCCGAACAGCTCGTGTTGCCATCATACCATCCAGTGGCTCCAGCAGGAAAGTCTGAGCCTTGGGTAGATCTCTACCCTCCCTGTAAAGGGCTTCTCACTTCCATCTTGTTATTCCTAGCTGAGTGCTCCCAAATCTCTCAGTGGCTTTGAAAGTCTCCTGTACAGTTCCACTTTTTGTTTTGATGCATTTACAAATAAATGTCTATAAGACAAAACACTGAACAAAGATTTATTTTTACTCTGCTCAGAACACTTCCTACAATGAAACTTAACACTTGTCCTTTTACAACAGTCTGCATGAGAGGTTCCCAAACAACTTTTTTCTTATTGTGCACCCCCTTCCAGATTTACCAGCTGCTGACATACCCTTACCAGTATACTTTTTATCTTAACCCTTCAAAGCCAATTATTATAAGGAAAATTAAATCTGTTATTACACAGTTTCTCCTGCATAGTCACCTGGAGATGTCCTACATCTCCCCCACGGTACACATACCACAGTTTGGGAACCCCTGGTCTATATGATTCATAATGCATTATACTTAAAAAGTAAAATAGGCTGATCAGTCAATCCTAGATCCTACTGGTACCTCCACAGAGTTGATGAATAAAGCTGAAAAGGCACAGGTATTCTCTTGAGGTCTAACCCTGAAGTTCTTAAGACTTCTTTTTGAACTACAAAAAGAATCTTGCTTAAGGATTTTAGATAGGATTCGAGGCTTTTGACATTGTAGTCAGATGTCACTGATTTCAATGACACCTAATTAAAAAAAATCCACAGCCTGAAATCTGAAGGAATTCAGTGCAGTCCCATAAATTTCTTCTGACCATAAATAACCTCCAGCTCTACCTTCAACAAGGTGATTGCAGTCAGACATCAGTCAGAGTAATATTTTTGGGTTTGGTGAGTTTGTTTAGCAGTCCCTGTCCAAGTTTACTTGTAAACAATGCTATTATTTCTTTATTCCCAGTCTTCACAGCCAGATCGTATGCTGATTGTCCTTTTGCATTTTTCTTCTTAAAGCTTGCATTGCAGCTGTAAATAAGAAGCAAAATATTCAAGCTACTTGAAAATACTGGGATCAGAAAGGAAGTTGCTTACAACCAGATTCTGCTGCTTATGCATGCTGTAATGGGAGTGAAGGCATCTGATTCTGCTGGCTCTGTTATGCAAGACAGATAGTGATGCAATATCAACTTGAATTGAGGCCGCACAGCACAAGGAAGCTCTTACGTGTTACTAGTTATTAGTTTTCTGTAGTGAATGTAGACTAGAGTCCTTCTGTTCCTCAAGATCTGTAAGGATTCTTCCAGCCCCTAACAACTATGAAACTGCTGTACTTACCCTAACAAGACTTGGATGCATTTCTTTCCCTCTAATCCAAATGAAACAGCCTCGTGAAGAGCAGTGTTACTATGCCTGAACAAAAGGAATCAAATTTTACCATGTGGTTTGATGTGACTGGTCAATCACATTCTGCTATGGGAAAACAAAGAGACAGATGAGGATTGGATGACAAGATCTTATGGCTACTTAGATATAGTTCAAGGTAGCTAGCTGTGTTAGCCTGAAGTCAGGCAGAAGACAGGGCAGAGTGTCACCTTAGGAAAACAAGTTGTATGCTACCTTTTCCTAATGGTGGAGAAAAGGATTGAAATGAGAAAAGGGTGACAGGAGAAAAGAAAGAAAGAAGGCAGGCAGGGATAGAGTGAGGGAAACATTTGGAAGGGGTAGTAAACAGGGATCTGGGACTCCAGTTTCCCACAGGAAAAAAAAATGCAGATTACTTCTTACCCAAGAAAATGTGGATTTTCATTTAAACAGAAACATGGATTTTGCAGTGAGCTTGCTGCAGGCTGACAGAGTTCTAGCCTTCAAGGGGCTGGGGGGAGTGGGAGGAGGGCACTTAGGCAGGGGATGCCATGTGCATGTTTATGTACGTGGCCATCAGGCAACCTGGAGAGCAGATCCTACAGGCAAGTCTGGCAGAAGGAGGAGGGGGTTGAGGCCCCCATAGGGGGGGAAGGAAGGGAGCTGGGCAGGGCTGGAGCTGGGGTTGGAACATGCAGCCACGGGGCCATGGGCAGGGAGTGGGCAGCTGCAAGTAGCTTGTCTGAGGGTCAGGGCTGGCTCCCTGTCACTATACCCCTGAGAGGAGGCCAGGGGACCTGTGCACAGGGTGGGGGCAGACTGCCTGCTGAGGGCTTGGGCTCTTTACCCTGCTGCCCTCCCCTGGGCTCTGCAGCCCAGTGGGCAGGACCCAACACATCAGGGCAGAGCAGGGCTAGGTCAGGAAGCTTCTTGCCATGCAAGCCCCATGTAGCCCTGGCAAGGCATCCCTTGCCAGGCCGGCAGCAGTGTGGGGTTGTGCCCCTCGCTGCTGCAGGGCAGATCACCAGGGCAGTGCAGAGCTTGCAGTGGCAAGGAGCTTCCTTGCCTAGCCCTGCTCTGCCTTGCTGTGCTGGGTCCCAGCCACTGGGCTGTGGAGGCCCCAGGGGACAGCAGCAGGGCAGGGAGTCTGAGCCCACAGTGGGCAACCTGCACCCGCCCCGTACACATATCTGGGGCACACGGGTTCCCCCAGGGAGTGCATGCAGTGGCAAGGAGCTGCCCCCCGACTGCTGCAACAGTTGCCACCTCCCATAGCCAGCAGCCAGGGCTCAGGTGCTGCTGCAGGGGGCAGGGTGCTGCGGGACCTGGGTCCCTGGCTCTACAGCCCTGGCAGCTGGGAGTCCTCTGGCAGGGCGGGAGAGGGAGAGGAAGGGAGCTGTCAGTGGGGAGTCAAGGGCACCAGCAGGGCTGGGGGCCTGTGGCTTGGGAATGAGGGGCCTGGACCTGCATTCTGTGGGGACAGGGTAGCTCTGATTTTCTATGATAAAAAACCCCAAATCAAATACCAAAACTTATAGGCATAGTATAGGCAACTGGTGCCACCTTAGGAGGGGGCAGATTGAGGCCCCTGCAGTGAGGGAGGGGGTGGGGCAGAGGCAGGGGCTGTGGTGAGTGGGGCCCTGGCTAGGCCAGGTCATGGAACATTCGGAGCCCAGGTGGCTCATTCAGAGGCGCAGGGGGGCTCCTGCCACTGTGTGCACCCTGCAGGAGGCCCAGGGGGCACGTGCTCCCCCCAATCTGTGTGCTACAGCTGCCCTGGGAGCAGTGCGATGCCTCGTGGATCCCACTGCTGCGTGGGCAGGGCGCGGCGCAGCCCAGTGGCAGCAGGCATGTGGCATCACGCCACTCCCAGGCCAGCTGCAGCAGTGCACAGAGCCCTAGTGTACAGCAGCAGCCACCTCTGTGACCAGTGGCAACGCACAGATTGGGGGGGCAGGGGAGGGGCATGTTTCTTCCAGGCCCCCACCAGGGTGCATGCAGCATCAGGAGGTCCTCCTACCCCCACACTCCTGAATGAGCTGCCTGGGCTCCAATTGTTTGAGGTAGATCCTGGGTTCCACTTTAATTCCAAAAGTAATCTTGTGCTTAAAAAGGTTGGAGACCACTGGTTTAGAGAATGATCACTTACGGTCCTGACTGATGGTCAATATCTGCACCTTTCTGCGCAAGAACTGGAATCACTTCATCATGCCCATTTAGGACAGCCACTGTTAAAACAGGTCGGTCTTCATTATTTATGCAGTTTGGGTCAGCTCCCTGAAGTACAGAAAAGGAAGACTAGCAGTTAAATTAATCATCCATTTCCTGTTTTCATATAACAAACATTCATCACAGTGAAATATTGAAAAATATTTTAATGCTTAGAAAATGTTGAGAAACACACAAACCTGGAAAAAATGAACTTTCATGAATTTGTGTCTGTTCCCTGTCATGCTCTAATATTTGTCTGCAGCACAAAAAATAGTAATAGCAAACAATACCTGGCTGCAGAAGCAAAAAGGGTCAAATTCCTTTGGGTGGCAGGGAAGATTAATGTTGCAGCTGCTCTGTGGCTACTACCACAGGCAAGACAGGTGGCACAGCTGTGCTGATAGATTTAGCCAGTGCCATATCATTTCCTACCCAGCTTTCCCCTGAAACCCCACCATATTTGCATTATATTGTGCAGTGTATGAGAGTGCAGTTGGAATGCACTGTTGGTGTGACATTTCTATTCCATTAGACTGCATCAGTTTTCTGCATATTATGTAAAGCAGTGTTGTCCAGCTAGTGGCCTGTGGGCCACATGAAGCCCTGGGGCTCCCAGTCTGGGCATCACACCCCACTTTGGTCTCCAGCTGCTGTTGCTGGAGTCCCTGAGTTCCCTCTGCCCCTGGGGGTCAGGTGGAGTGGCATAACCTCTTGGGTTGAGGAAGCCCAGGGCCAGGAAGCTCAAGGGCACCTGGAGCCCCCAGGCAGTATGAAGGCACCAATGTGGTACAGTGACAGAAGGATGGAGCACTGGGTTACACACACACGTGGTGGGGGGGAGACACTACGGCTGGGGGAGCAAGATGCATTCGGGACATGTACAATAAGAGGTGGGTGTTGTGTGGTACTGCTGCGTGTGGCCCCTGCAGTATGGGACCAGGGGTGTCTGCGGTCCCCAACCACACAGAAGTTGGGCAGCCATGATGTAAAAGATCTGGCTCTAAATGACAGGATGAGACTTCACAATAGATTTTGATTTTTTTTCTTATGACGTAGTGTTGTTAGAGGCAAGGGAGTCTCCTTAGCATCACTTAACCATAAAGTTTGGGAAATGTATCCAAATGTAAATTTATTTCCTTTATGGTTTTATTTAAAAATTTCTTTATAATTGGGCATTTAAGTGTTTTACTCCAATGATCTGGCATCCCAGGAACAATTTCTGAGGTTATAATATTATAAAAAGTCATAAATATGACTTATGAATATGACTTAATGCTTATGAAATAACCAGATGCTGGACTGTCTCCTGAAATTCTGAGATAGAAATGACCTAATTTTAAACTTACTTCATCAAGCAATTGTTCTACCATAGAAATTCTTCCCTCACCACTTGGGCCCACTTCTTTCAGTAGCTGTCTAGCCTCAGGCTGTGGAAATACAGAGATCAACAACAAAACGATTCACATAGTAAGAATTTGATTGCATGTCCAGATTCTGCCCTTGGATACAGGCAGACAACTTGAAGTGAAGGATGCAAATCAATCAGAGGGAAAAAATGTTATACATTTGAATCTCACCAATCCACACACAATTTCCTTTAAATAGAGTTGTTTCCAGTTCTGAGCAAATACTGAGCGAACAACAGCACTACAGGCAGCTAAGGTCCCCCTTTTGCTAGCACTTATGCATATGTTTAACTATGTTACCACAAGCAGTTCCACTGAAATAAATAGCTACTCAAGGTAGTCAGGTTAAACATGTAATTGTTTATAGGATTACAGCCTAAACCATCCTGTTTTTACAAAATAGGAGGCATGATATTTACCACGGCACAGTGAAGTTGTGTGTGTGCATAAAATAAAAGTTGTTTTACAAATAAAACTAAACTCCAGTTTTAAGGTGCATGAAAAAATACAGTTTGTGATGCACTATCCTTTTTAATTGTTCACTGAGGCTAAAGTTCAGACCTTGGTGTACTGATTGGGTATGTGGGCTCTATTATGTGGCTATGAGTAGAAGGAAGAGGGGATTGCTAGACCGTGGAGCCATTCTATGATGTTAACTGGAGCCAATGACTTGAAATAGCCTATGCAAACAGCACCTCCTAGGATTTTCAGATGTGGTAAAGTCATTTTTGGCTGAACTGTAGTACAAGCAGATTTGTTTGTGAAACAGCTGGGATGGTATGAAATGCTTTAAAAAGTAAAAGCTTTTTCTTGTCGCTTTTCAAATACCATAGAGTGTGGCTTGCTGAAATAAGGTATCTTGTGGGTGGAAGTGATTGGAAGGGCTTACATTGCTACACTGACAATCATCTTTTTTTTCTTAAGAAAGCCTTACATTCACAGAGTCAGTGTGTACTGTATTTCTTAAGTCAAAGTAACATGGTAAATTTCTCCCCCATTCTCTCCTTCAGATGGATAAATAGTAGGACCATATGTCAACACTAGTTTCCCTTTAAAAGTTTCCATTTAATAATCAACCTTCTCTGAAGCATTAAAGTTCCTGTTAAGTAACCAAGTGATAGAATCTCTGCCCCTGCCCCTGTTTTTATGAAAGCTTAGATCCTTCCATTGAGCTACTTGCATTTGGTTCAGATGGGAATTTTTCTCATTAGAAATAAAAACTGCACAGTTAAAACATGGTTTTTCAAAGAGTAGGAAGATGTTTGATTAAATGCAGTTTTTGAAAACTATGTATATCAGCCAACTATTTTTATTGTACATAAAATGCTTTCCCTAATCAGTGTTTCAAAAAATGTTTTTCCTTTGGGTGTCCCCTTAGATGCAGTGTTAGCACTTCTACAACTCAAATTTCCTTCCTACACTCACAAACTTATAAAGCTGTAGGAAATACATACGGGCAGCTTGTCTTCTTTTTCTAGAAATTTTCTTGTCTTCTTTGGTCTTTTTACTTTTCCTTTAGGGCTTGAGATTTGACCCTCTTCACTCACTAAATAGGGAGAATTTGGTGTTAAAATTCAAAGCAAGTCCAGTAATGCAACAAGAACTTAGAACCAAGGTATGCAATCAACTGATCATTCAATAAGATGGCCAAAGCAATACATCTGAAGCAGTTCTTGCTTGGGGCCAAATGAAAAGAGAAAAAACTAAGTTTCTATTTCATTTTGGCTTATTAACTTAAAACAAACCCCCAATTAAGCTTAGGCAAAATTCTGAAACAAAAACATTCTTTTTTTCAATGAAAAAAACATGCTTTGACTTTTCCAGAATTTTGTTTTCAGACGTTTCCAGCTAAAACTATTTGCTAAACTTGCAGATGGGTTCATCTGTCCTCAAACTGCATTTTTTAGCAAATGATTAATTTAAAAAATTACCCAAGCGTCTACTCAAGAGGCAAATGTGGTATATGCAATGCAATTGCTTGGGCAGGGTAAATCCATTACTGTACAGAAGTCCAGTAAAGAAACCTGAGCTGCATTTAGAAAGAGGTTAACTTGTGCTGGCCATTTGCACTGGAGTGCATTTCAGCTGAAGTACATGGGAATCTAAATGGCTCTTAATAGTTCTGAAAACCAGTTAGCTCTTAATGCATTGCCTGCCATTCCCAAACTGCGGATCAGTAGGTTTACAATTAGCACTAATATTAAAAGACACTGATAGACATTTATGCAATCATTAAAAAAATAAGGACACAGTAATTCATGCATTCTAGTGCTGACCTTGTAGGCAATGACAGTTCCAGCAAAATACCAAAATTCAGTAAGAGGCAATCACACCTCTTACTGAAGCCAATAGAAGCAGTGCCAATATAATTCCTCTGCAAACTGGGTCACCAGATTGTTTCAGTTGCCAACTGTAGCAAAACCTAGACTCTATAAGCAACACCTCAAAATTAATAACAAACATGACTTTGATATATTACTGTCCACTGGGAGCCATACAGTCACTGGCCATTAATATCACTTGGATAAAAACACCATGCTAAGCTTAAGTTGCAGCTTGCTGAATTTTTCAGCTCTTCTCTGTGGATGAAATTCAATGTCTGTGAGAACTAAGCAATACTTGCATAAGCCTACACATCACTTAAATGTTGTATAAATCCTATTTTGAATTTTTAAATGGCAAAAATGGTATCAGCATATATGGGGTACACCAGGGGTAGACAACCCCCGACATGGGTGCCAGAGCATGGCACACAAAGGCATTTTGCTTGGCACGTGTGTCAGGGTGGACAGTGGAGAAGGGGTTGGGGATGCACTGCCACAACAAGGACTGGGCCCCTCGCAGCTCCCCCACTGTCTGCCTCAGCACATCAACATCTTACAATTTGGGGCTGAGGTGCTTTTGGCACTCTATCCAAAAATGTTGCCGACCCCTGGTGTACATTGTCTGAAAAAGGATTAATTTATCAGTGTTAGCATCCAACATTAAACTTATGAGAGCTAAAGCTATGTTTATGGCAGACTACAAAGACACAGGAATACTCACCTAGACTAGGCTGACTATCATATAGGCCATCTCTGCCTTCTGTCACAGTGCTCAGATAATGATTGTCAAACTTTATTGGTTTGCTTGTAAGAATACCCTAGGGAATAATAAAATGCACACATTTAATTGGAATATTATGTAATGCTGTGTAAAATCCTTAATAGCATGAAATGGGAAGAGATTAAACATATGAAAATATATACAGATGTTTAATGTCTTCAGTCTCAAATTAGCTGCAGTGTAGGATGAACTTCATACTGTTCAATATTTGTTTTACTGCAAAAATTTTAACAGTCTCAGAATTACGAAATGCCAATTCACATCAAAGAAAAAACCATTCATGTTAGCTAAGAGATCCCATTAATTTATTGCTTATCAAATGAGGTAATAACAATAAGAATCCAAACACACACATTTTTAAGCACCTTTCATCAAGATAAGCATCTCAATATATCATCTAATAGGAATCTGAGTTTAACTGAATGCCTTGAAAGGGTTGTGAATAACATTTCTAGCTTTTCTTTAGGACACAGTTAAGCAAATTAACATTAGGGAGGAAAATCCAGCACTTCAATTTATAATTAGCCAAAGTTCTGGCAAGTGCTGTCTCCAAGCTGTATTTAGAATTAGAAAACCTGTCCCCCAAGAACACTACTTGCAGACAGGAGAAAAGGAAGACTCTTGAACAGGAGGAAAGCAGTACTAAGGCTATTTAAAACTTTGTCAGTTGAAAGTAGGATGTTAACAGCAAGCTTAATAAATGCCTTTGCACTGAATGCAAGGTGATAGCTACAGGACCCTGAAGTCTGGTTTAATCAGACAAGGATACCTGTTCAACCAGTTTAAGCAGAAAAAGTCAAGATTTCTTTTTCTGAAGTGATACATTAACACCCTCTCAATAAGAGAAATACTTGGTTAGAACAGAATTTGGAATACACATTCTTGCAGGAGTGAGCTGTCAAACAACTGCTATGGGCTCCAGGGGGCCACTTTCCTAAGGATGTACCTGTTTCCCCAAACTGACCTTGTTTGTGGCAAGAACATAATTTAATCTGATACTGACTTCATAATCATCCTCATGGACTGTAGCAGAAATAATCTAAAGGAAAAAACCAAAAGTTAGCACCCCTTTTCAATAAAAGTACAGGAAGAGAGCTTCAGGAATGCCAAGTCATCCTGCTGGTAAGTTGACATTTATCAACTAGACCAGTGAAGAAATAATAATAGTTCACACTTGACTAATACACACTTATAGTACAGTACCAATATTAACTCCCATCTTACCTGAGTGCTGGGGTGAGAATTAATAACAGGTGGTATTTTGAGATAACTGGAAAAACCTGAATGATTGAAAATGTCAAACTTGTCTAAAACTGATATTAATGACACCTTACACTCTAATTCCAAAGTGTTTAACAGACCATGGACAAGATTCACACCTGTCACAGAAAGGTGTCATTTATACATACATACCCCTCCACACATTTTGCATCTGCAGAGGCAATTATGCCCAGATACTCTAGTGCACGGAGTATAGAACATAATCAAGCTAGACAGGGCTTACCACAAGGGAAAACTGGCGCTAAGTATGCACATGTAACTGAATCTGTCCTGTGGCCTGCTCACTTCTGGGGCTGTCACATGGCTCCAGACTCTTGGGGCATGGTTTCTGGGGTACCTTGTGCCATCCTGGTCCAGGATTGCTTACTACCAATGGGGAACTGCTATTTGGGTTGCACCAGCTTGTAACAGTACAATCTGGGTTGCAAACAGACTGCTGTACAAGCATAACTCCAGCTATGAGATGCAGCTAGTTTTGGGAAGGAACCATGGGTACTTTCTTGTGTGCCAGCTACCTTACCTTATAAATCTCAGGAGGTAAAGCACAGTTATTTATTAGTTCTGTTTAGTTTTGCTGTCCTGTTCATTTTTCCATTTTATAAATTATTCTCTCCTCTTATTGTAAGCTGCCATGAGCCTTTATTGGGAAGAGCAGCATATAAAATGGAATTAAAGAAATAGATAAAGTGGCTGATAAACAAATAAAGTAGTCACGAGCTTATCACCTTGCCAGAGTTGACAAGACTACAAAAACAAGTGGCATGGGAGAAGACTGAGAACTTTTGTGTGCAATTTATCATAACATTTCTACAATGCATGAAAAATTAGTAAGAAGTGTAAATAAAGAGTAGACACTTGGCACCTGCCCTAAATAATCCCTGATCCTTTTCTTAGCAACAGTTTTATTACACTAGGATGCCAAAGATCAAGAAACTGCAGAAATACCCCCAGCTCAGTTATTTTCTGTTTCAGGAATCTGCAGTTCTGAACCCTTTAACAAATAAAAAATAATAATAGTAATGTCCAGTGGTCTTGAATCTTATCTCCACCTAGTACATACCACATTTACATCCACATTAAGTTTCCTTTTCACTGCCAGAATGGGGCCTTATTGCAGAACTAAGAATCAGTCCCAACATAGGTGTGCTGGAGCATCCTGCTTCCAGAAAATGACATATGGGAAATGCCCATGAGATTCTTTCTCCTTCTCACATTAGATCATATGTGGAGCACTTCCATTTTCCACACTTGTTTCTGTTTGGTGTGAGTTTTTTCCCCATTAGTGACTGTGTTCAGTAGCATTACACAAGGGAGAAGCCTCAAATCCCCACCTCCTTAATATACCACAGTACAGTCACAAATAACAGTTTTAATACTGTTTGGTGACATTAATTAAGCCAATCTCTCTAATATGCACAAGTCAAGTACCTCAAATGGCACAGTTTTCAGTACAAATAATACATAAGACAAAGGGAACTACTGCTATCTACTGGTCAAATTCAGTCCTGAACCATAAACTAAATCCTACTTGTGAGTAGAACTTAAATTAGCAAACTAGCCTTGTTCTAACTCTCTGCACATGTAATTCCATTCTTTCTCTCACTCTCTAAATCACCTGCCCTGGCATATATGGTAAATTGAACAATGACTCTGCTTTTGGTCCACAGCAGCCTTGAGGCTTTTATTATCTCCTTTTGCTGTGATGTGTTTCTAAAAAGGGTATGTGAGAGACATAAAGGAACTACAGCCAGGGAGAAAGCAGAAAGAACTGAGCAGATGACTAAGACAGAAAATGGAATAGATTGAAAGAAGTTAGAAAATGAGAACAAGGAGATAAGAGAAAACAAGCAGGGAAAAATAAAAGAGAAATGAAAACCCACATAGGTGACTAAAGGCAATAAGGGTACATTTATTTTCCAGTTACTTAGATGCTATTTTCTGAACAAAATAATGGCTTTTTATCTGATTTATTTTCTTTTCAATCCTTCTGTGATACTTCACAGGTAGAATGCTAGCCACAGATGTATTTCTTACCTTTCCCATACGAGGTTCTCCAACCAAAGCCCTGAACTCTGGGTGGTTCTGAGCATAGCTTCTAAGGTGAGCACAGATATGATCCAGCTGCTTTCTCCAGTAACCTAAAAGGACAGATTTATGCAGAAGAAAATATTCTGTAATTTTTACCAATAACTGTTGTGCTGGTGTGATTAATGAATTGCAGATCTTGACCAGGACAAAGAGCACTGGGTTTTGTTAGCAGATTCAGCTGACCAAGGAAGAAGAAGAGAGAAACTGCACCCCTTAAAAGAGTAAAATAATGTACTATCTTTTGGAAATGGAGGGCAGCAATGAGCCAAATTCCTTCTGAGTCCAAAACAGCTGAGAACCTCTAGGCTATAGACTCAATCTACCCTGTGAGACAGGGAATCAACTCCAGAAACAAGCTAATGTTAGTGCAACGTTAAGAGTTAATTAGCATGAATTACTGATCTGGTTTTCAGTATACTTGACTAGTTCTGCAGAGCACAGTGAAACTGAAAATGCAAGCCAACTCTGAAAATTGCATATACTGTAACCTGTTCTAGTTTGCATTACCTACCACATTACTTGACAAATTGTTTATAAGGGAGGACTGTACCTGAGAAATCAGGAAGCACAGTGGAGTGGAGGATGAACTCTGATACACAGTTTTTAGGGAATGGGAGGAGTGCTAACAAAGCAATGCTGGCTCAATAGCTCAGCTCTCCTTGCTTTTTCCTCCATCTAATCCTCCTCTTGAAATGCATTCCTGAGCTAACAGGACTGACAGCTACCTTCTCATCTTGCAGAATCCTTCTCAAAACCCACTACTGAAGCTACAAGAAATAAGCTCATGCCAGGCAGAGACATTTTATGCATACAGCAATCAAAAAATATTACCACTGGAACTGGTATTAAGTGTGCCCCATACTGACTGGTCTGCTTGTACCCTGTACCTCTATCCTCAGTCTTCCATCTGTTCCTTGTCCAGTACATTGAGATAGGGTCTGGGCACTCCATGTTTAGGCAATGTCTAGGATATTTTAGATTCTGCCACCATCTAAATAATGATTAATAACTCAGACTAGGGGGGGTTTCCAGTGATTTTGCAGCTCAAATCCAATATTTTCAATGCTAGAACGGGATATATTTTATAAATTTTAATGAAGAATGGGAAAGAAGGATTTCCTTTGAAGCTAAAGCGTTTGAGTATCAGGATCTGACCAGCTTTATTTTAGAGAGCACTTAGGGAAAGTACAGAAAGTACAAATCCTTTTGCTGAAAATAAATCATGTAGGTGACAACAAGCCTCATTTAATTGAAATAGAGAAGTCACCTTGACCTTACCATTGCCAATCTTAGCATTGATAGAGGATCGCAGTACATACATGAAGCCAAATCAGAAAATAAGTCCTGCCACATGGCTTTGACAGTACAAGAAAATTACACTGTACAGGAAGGAAAATAGACTTTGTGGACTCTCTGCGTTCTGTTGATAATTCTTAGATAGGCTACACTGTACCAAAATGTTATGTATTTGGATTAAAATCAGTGGGCTCTGGCTTCCTACTAGCTTGTATAGCATTTAGCACATAAGCCCCAGTTCAACAGGGGCCTCCAGACAAGACTGTATTATAAATATTAATTAAATAAACAAGAGTGAAAGCAAAGACTAAACAAAAGGAATAGCTCTCTAACCATTCCTCTCCTGGAGGAACATAAGCAAAGCGGACTTAGGAAGAAAAACAAATGTCCAACATCAGCCATGAAGAAACCACGACAAACCAGAACAACAGGACTTGTTCTTCCTGACAGTCTTGAAGAAGCATGTTGAGAAAGGATACGGGAGGGGGCTAAAGAGGGAGATGATCTACACAGCATCCCTCCTGGTCCCTAAAATATTTTTGCTTTAAATTAAATTAGAGCCTGAAATAAAGAATAAGTTAACATAATAAAAATGCCCAGCTGAATTGCTATTTTCTAGATGTGACCCCCAGTAAGTCAGTGGTAGTTGCATTAGATTAGGCTAAAGCTAAACTGAGCTGCTTGTCTTTCACGTGAAAATCAGGACATAAAATCAGGATGCCAGAAATATGCTTGTGTCCATGTGGTGCCAAGCTACTTCTATTTGAGGTGTATCTAAAAGGATTTCTGGCAACCTTGAAGGGAACACCTGAGTTTATGTTGTCAGCAGCTGGTTACACCTAGATATGACTTATTTACTGTACATGCAGTAGAAAGGGGAGGCTCTTTTGTTATATTTGCTTCAGAATGCCTTTGGTTCCTGCTCAAACAGCTTGAAATACAGTAGAAAAAAAATGTACCATTGAGCAAAAAACTGACACCTCAGTTCCACTGTTTCATTTTCCTGTCCAAACTGTCTTTTACATTTTCCCCTGCCTATTTAGTGCTTCTGGCTAGTTCATTCCAGGGGGAACAGGACAACAACAACCCCCCCCCACCACAACCTAGCTGTTATTTTTAATTGTTTACATTTTTTAATTAAAGTATCACTAGTCAAATATAGGAGTTTGAATTAGAGAAAGTATGAACAACCTGCCTAGCATAACCGAGAGCTGCCTGCATACTAGCACTCTGGTCACGAGTCTCTGGACTAGTAGAAAGCTCAGCATGACAGTGTGGACAGTACAGAAAACTGAGTTCTTATGGTTGCCGGACTTTAACTGTGGGAGAAACTCAGTTCCATGGGCCTAGCAGATTCCAAAGAACTTCTTTCTCCTTTACTAATAAGCCTCCAGCAAAGGCACCTCTGCTGACTAACGATATGTAAATTAGCAAGGTTTCATGGCAATTCAAAGCTTCTTCCCAGCTTAGCCTGGTGAAAGGAGCTCAATCTCTCAAGAGTTGAAAACTGCACTGTCAATGAAAGGATATAAAAGTCTTTAGAATTAAATACTTTTTCAGGGCTATTCAGGGCCAGTCCCTTAACTTTTTCTCTGACTAAACTCCTTGGCATGTTGTCACGTACGGCATTTCACTACAGGGATGGATCTAATAAGAGATTCCATGTAACAGAGCAAGGGAGTGTAAGAGCTATTTCCCAGGTATTAATGTTGCCTTACCTGCAAATTTACAAAATATGGGAAAAGGGCTGAAAGAGTCATTAATACCATGAAGGTAGAGTTGGGAGCTCAAGGTGTGTCTGATTTTTTTCTCCAAGACCTGAGGAAGGGTACTTCATGCCCAAACACTTGTCTGTATCCCTGAAGGCCGGGAGACATAGAGAGGGACAGATGGGGACACCCAGCTGCCTGTGACCCAACTGCCACGGGGCCACTGAGACAATCAAGCACCTCCTCTGGGTCTGCACCTGCGCCAAGCAGGCTCTGAGCGGCAGGATCACTGCTGCTGCAGCCCTAGGAAGCCTCCAGGGCCCCAGGTAAGGCTGTTGGGGCCAGCCAAGTGCTGGCTCCAGCCTCCCCTACCCCACCTGGGGTAACCTGCCACATGCCAGAGGGTGCATGGCATGGGAGTTCCCCAGAGACAACTAGCACTAGCACAAGCTGTACCATGCTCCTTGTCCCCAGGGAAACAAATGTCCACGCTGGTGTGCATGCAGCCTAAGAGTCTATCTTAAAACTTTTGTTTTCAGCTTACACTGGAATGTTTCCAGAACACTGGGGCTAAAATCTCTAA